ACTTTGAGCTGAATTGTAGTACCTCTTCTTTTATATCTGCTAATATATATATTATTTCATTTAGTGAAGTTTTTACTAGTTATTTTCCGTTAGATGCGGTCAAAACCTGGGCCGGTTCAGGTTCGTCATTTTTGGTGAACCAGAACCGGCCAGATAAAGACTAAGGGCCAGTTCAATGAACCGGCAGTCACGGTTCAGAACTGTCCCGGTGGAAATTAAAAAAATAATAATAATTTAAAAAAATAAAAAAAATCAATTTTTTAATTAGAATGGATAAATCTACGGGTCGGACCAAGGCCCGTGGTTAACTGTTCGGACCGGGCTGGTTTTGACCGAACCATGTCCATGTCTATTTTCGGTTTGTTATTTTTCTGACAGTGTGCAGTGTCTCATACTTATAAATTGAAGTCTTTCATAATTTGAAGGATTTAGTTCTATGAATCAATGAAAAAAAGATACTTTTTGCATCTCTCTCTTTTTCAGTAATAATAATTACTATTAGATAATCTACTGCCCTAAATTAGGGTTGTAGCCGATTCGAGCAGCTCTCGAGTGCTCCAGTCAAACTCCAATCAAAGCTTGGTCTAGCTTGAACATCTCAAACCAGCAATTGGTTGAGCTCGAGCCCCTACTCCATCAATCTTGGTCTAGCTCGAACATCTCAAACCAACAATCGGTTGAGCTTGAGCTCCTGTTTTGTTGGTTCAAGTGTTTGACGAGCAGCTTTACTATGTAAGTAGAATGTATCATACTACTAACATAAAAGATGACATAAAAATTCGACATAATAATATGTGTCATAATCTTATTGTTTTACGTCACATTTACTTTTAAAATTAAGAACCATTATACATATACATGGGGATTAATATTAAATTTTTTTTTTCTCCCGATTAATTGGTTTCTGGTTTTAAGGCATGCTTATCATACTTTCAAGAAAAAACTAATAATCTCAAGAATAATTGTTGATTTTAGCTGCTCAAGCTCGAGCATTACAAGCCAAAGTTTACAATAGGTTCCCTTGAAATCAACTTGAGTCTCGAGCTTGAGAAGCTAAAATAACACGAGCCAGCTTGATGAGGTCATTGTTCAACCCAACTATGGCTCGTTTGTAGACTTAGTCATCAATGGCCACCCATGAATACCCTTAATAATCATCTATCACAGGGTTTGCTCTTGCTAAGATAAATGTGATAAAATTCACCACTCTAAGTTATGTTTTATTCCAAGATCTGAAATGTAGAGAATTTCCTTTGGTCTTCTTTAAGTCATTTTCAACTCTTATATCTAATTTAGTGTAAAGTTTATTCAGTAGAGGAGTAAAACGAAAATTAAGTTTCATCTCCAACCGTCCGCTCTATATTTTACTCTACATGCAATATTTTATTTTTATTATCATTATTTTAATTTTTTTTAATGCCAAAATGTAATTTTATTAACAATATTATTGATACACATAAGGTGGACAAGTTTGAAATATGATAAGACAAAAAACAAACTGTTTCAAATAATATTTAATTTATTTATAGTAATTTAATTTAAATATATTCATTTAAAATAAAATTTTAATATCTCTTAAATTAAGTTTAGTTTTTAGGTATTTATATGTAAACACTTTGTCAAAAAAGCATTTTAATTTACATAAGTAAAAATAAAAGAAAAAAAATAAGCTAAGCTTTAGCGTAAGAGACGGGCTGCCCGAGAAGAACACCAACATTGTTCATATCTATATATATATAATAAGAATTAACATTTTTCAAAAATAGTAAGTCAAATTTTGGTCAAAATCCTATCTGCATTAATCACAAAAGATTTGAACTTAGAGAAGACCCTTAGTTTAAACTAAAGTTCAAAATACAGTCAAAATTTATATAACCGACTAAGATTTGTAACATTTTTTAAAACAAATAGACATGCAAATAGAAAATGAGACTTCATTTCCGGTATTCATTTTTTTCAACTGAATAAAATTCGGATTTCGACTGAAAATTGAAAAATTATTCCAGATCCGTCCATTTAACTTACGAAATTTCTAAAATCTACAAAAAAAAAGCAATATGAATCAAAATAATTGAACGACACATTAAATAAGTCTAGATATTCAAAAGAAAAGCTTTTGAAATGGTCGAAATAGTAATAACAGAGTCAGTTTTTCATCGGTTTCGACCAAAAAATAAACATAAAATCTTAGAACACACAAAAAAATATGCAATCAAAAGATATAAAATAATAGAGGCATCTTTCTAAACATAAAGACAAGATATAATATCGATCTATCTAACATAAGAAATCGACTCGCAATAGATGTGATTGATTGTTTAAAATATAGAGCATTTTTGTGAAAATTTGAAAGAATATTTTATCAAGTTTCTATAAGTGATATAAGAGAGAGAATAGAGAAGGAAAGCGGTGGGAGGAGGAGAAGTAATGACATAATCCTAATAATTTGAATATTTTTAACTTGTTTAGATTGCATCTTTGATTTCTGGCCGTTAGATATCGGTTGACTAAGTCAGACCGTCTGATCCATTCTTTTGAGCCATAACGGGTTGAGATGTTGGGTCGCACTTACTGATTCGGTCTGCTTTCATGGTTGAGCTTTATTTGGGTCAATTCAATAATATGTTATTGGCCCGTTAAGTTTGACCCGACCAGTTTGGTTGAGTACATTATATTGTGGAACATAATTGGGCTTCAATTTTTTTTTAAAAAAAAAAATAGACAGGCTTCGCTATATAAAAATAAATAAATATATAAATTCCATAAATTATTATAGCCGTGCATAGCACGGATTACTCAGTGTAATAATAATAATAATAATAATAATAATAATAATAATAATAATAATAATAATAATAATTTTTTAAATCTTGCGTACTCAAATTTTCACACGTGACATCATAATTCTCTTTAAAAAAGGTATCAATAGTGATTACTCACTTACGCGACTCAAACTCAAGACCCATTTATAATTATTATTTAATATTGTTTACCCGTGCATCGCACGGGGTACGCACTAGTATGCATTATACAGATGGATTATAGAGATGACTGCCCGAGAACAACGCCAACATTGTTCATATATGCATTATACAGATGATTAGGATTGCGCCACAACAATGTATTATAGAGATGACTCAATACAGTGACGGATCTAGAAATTTCACTCAGGGAGTCCGATTTTAATTGTTATAACGAGCTTGTAGTTTAAGTCGAAATGTTCATTTCATATAAAAATGTATTTACTATAAATATAAATATCGATATGCGTACTATCGGAATTTTAAAAACATAGAATCCGTATCACCCTCAAGCTTTAAAAATAATAAACAAAACAAAAATTGAGACTTCATGTATTTATAATTTAGTTCAACATTTATAATTTATGAAAAATTATTTCTTTTTTTTGAAAATTTGATTTAAATTGGACTTTTGCAGCACATAGCATAACATTTTTGTTGATGAGTGCTTATCCAATGAACATTGTTTTTAGAAAAAATAAATAAATTTAAATGTGATTACACAAAAAAAAAAATGTAAAGAAATCAACATTAACAAATATAACAATCTAACAAAATATTCAATTTTATAAATCACNTTTAAAAAAATTCAGGAGGGTCCACGGCCCCCCTGGACCTAGTGTGCCTTCGTCATTGACTCAATGTGTATACATCTTTTTGGCTTCCAAAGTCCCGGATAATCGGATAATTAAACAAACTTTAATGAGCTTAATATATTTATTAAAATATTGTAATTTTGTATTGAACTACTATTCAACTCAAACTACTATTAAAATATTGTAATTTTTAATTAAACCTCATCATCTAAAGTTTGATTATTTTTTAAATAGTAACCATTTCCCTCTGAAAAAAATTTATTTACTATTTATGGAAATTAATTTAACAATTTATGGTATATATTAAATGATCACTTACGGAAATTGCGGCTCATTATTTAAGAAAATAATTAAGCCATATTTTAAGATACCTTAATTACTCAAATCATAGGAATTAATTAATATATGGTATAAAGTGGATGAATTTATTTGTGGTATTAACGGTTATTTTTATGAAAAATAAATTAATCAATATATGGTATAAAATGAGCAAATTTATTTAGATTTATTTGATGTCTGTCTTTTAGTAGGAAAATTTGTTGAAAAATTAATTAATATACGGTGTACTTTTTTCTGTAGTGCGCAGGCTAATAAATTAATTTTTAGGTGTGTGTTTCAATTTTTATTTCATTCCATATGAAATTAACATAATAAAATTTTTGTAAGTTCGACAAAATAATATGAACGGATATTTTGATATAATGTGCGTGTATCGTTGTTTTCTTATAGAAAAACTCTGGTCATTTTTTTTTTTGTATAATTAGTGGGCCTCAATTTAATTCATTTTATGTTACGACATCTTAAATAATTTTTGTGTGAATTGCACTGTTCATTTTTTTAGCATGATAAAGAGTGCCGATTTTTTTGGCATAAAAAATCTTATGACTGATTGCTTTTAGTCAACTACTTAAATTTTTTTATTTGAATATTTTATACAAAAATAAATTTATTTTAGTTCATGAAACAATATAAATTTTATATTTATACTTATTAATTATGTGCAACGCGTGCACGGATTGTGTACTAATATTAAAAATAGACATTTTTATATAATTTTACATAAGTTAAATTTTATATAACATTTATAATAAATTAATATAGGTACATTGTATTACATATTGATTCCATTTTTTAAATTTATAAATATTATTTAATAAAAATTTTTAATTTATAAATATTAAAGAATATCTCTGTGCATCGCACGAGATTCGTACTAGTTTTATATGTAATAAGGTTGAATGGTTTGGTTACTACACACTGCCCAAAACCCAATCAGTTGTTAAATATGTCAAACATGAAGCCTGAAGGAACTAATATAAAATTCATCTGCATCTGATTTGTGTTCCGTTTTTCTTCCCTTTTCCACTATTTTATTGCCAGCTGAGTAAGACTTACAGAATGCGATACTCTGTCTGACACCATTGAATTTGCCTGTTTATTCTCGGCACAAGTCATGGCTCATTCTGTTTTTTCATCACATAGTCAAGTCCTCGAGAATATTTGTTGCTATTGTCTGAGCATGCCTTCACTTTCTACAACATCAGCTAAGCTTAGGCTGTAAACATCACGCCTATTCGATCTCCATTTGTATTAATGCCTATTTAAGCTCAAACCTTAATTCATTTCACAATCAATTCCATAGTTTTCTGTAAAGAGATTTTTTTATTTTTTTTTTCCATTTTTTTATTTTTTTTTTGTTTGTTTAAGAATGTTTTGTTCTCCAAAGGATCCCGTGATGGCCACCGAGAACAAATGCACTGGACGTTGCAAGTCAGTCGTGCGGAGGATAGTCGAGCAGGTGAGAGCAGAGACTGATCAGTGGGCCCAGATGCAGGAGATGCTGGCCCAGTTGCGTGGTGAAATGGAGGAGCTGCAAGCGTCTCGTGATTTCTGGGAAAATCGAGCATACAATTTGGAACATGAAATCCAATCCCTTAGGAAAACTGTAAGGACTAATGACCCATTCTTGATTTACTTCATTTAGATCTTTTTTTTAATCCATTTTTCACAATTAGGATGAGTCTGGCTTAATTTTATATCCATATTTTCTTTTAGGTCGAAGAATGGAAATTGAAAGCAACCAAATACGAAAACAAGGCAAGCCAGTTGCAGCTCGAGGTTTCCATTCTCAAAGAGCAAATTCAAAACCCGAGCGCGGTACCTTTGGGAAAGCAACTCGAGAAGGAAAAAAAGCTCAAGAGCTTCCGGATGAAGAAAAACAGCCAAGTCGAGGAGAAAGAGCAGCGTAAGTACGAAAGTCTGCCTGAACTTGAAGAGGAGGAGGTTAAGACTGCTGAGGAAAGAACCCCGAAAAGAGGTGGTTTGTCTGTGCCTCTTTCTCTAGGCAAACAGCTCGCGAAAGAAAAAAGGAAGATCCTTCGCCATTTGAGGGAGAACTATAATCGTGCGTATGATGATAATGGTGGTGATCGAGAGAGAAGGAGCAAACGAGATAGCGGACGAAGGAAGAAATCGTGCTCGACTGGGTTTGGGGTTGTGGAGCCGATTCGTTCGCCTTTGATGGACATTAGTAGTTTGTCTCCGATTACGCAACAAATTAGTCGATCGAGTTTTTTTGGTCTGAGGAACCCTGAGACCTCAAGAGTAAGGGGCAGTTTTAGAATGTGATGATGATCTGGTTTTGCATTTAGGAAGAGAATTGTTGAATTAACCTTTTTTTTTAATAATTATATTTTTCCTTTTTTTTTTTTGGTTCTTCCTTTCATGTGTACTGGCTGAGAAATTGTGTCAAGTTCAGAATTATAATGGTTCTTTTGTGAAAACGATTACAATTAAAGAGGCCATTTTCCGGATCACTGGAAAGTTCATGATGAAATATTGGGCATTTGAGTCTTGATCATCGCCATTTGCGCTTGGAAATTTTTTATGCTGCAATATTTTAAATAAGATAAGAGAGAGAAAAGGAATGGACTTTAACAGTTAACACTTAACACACTACTCGTGCTTGAGGGACAGTGTTATATTGGAAAATTTAGATCTAATTTGATGTGATTTGATATAAACAGTCACGTTTTTGTTTGACATAGAGGATAGAGCAATCTGAGTTTATCTTGAAATTTTTCGTTTAAATAAGATAAGACGCATTAATCTTGATATAAACAAATTTATTTGAGTTTTGATTTGATTTGTTATTTAACTAAAGTTAATTTTGAAAAAGTTGATTGAGTTGGTTTAAATAAAATTTTGAGTTTGTATTAAAATAATATTTAAAATAAAATGACTGAAGTTGATTTGATGATAAATAGAGAAATATGATTAGAAGTGATAGACATTTAAAATTATTTGAGTTAATTAATAGTGAATTAAAGTTGATGTAACGTGCGATGATGATTGATTGATATTATTTAACTATATTGATATAGAGGTGGGTTGAGATAAGTTAAATTTGAGTTAAATTTTGAATTAAAAAAAAAAAAAAAAAGTTGATTCATCATTGGATAAATTTGTATCAAGCACCCTAAAAAAAACCATTATTCCTACTCAATTTTTTTAAGGAAAAAAAGGGATATGAATATGATTGTTCATCCACCTATCTTGAGGCGTAGAACTTGAGATAACGTTGAACTGTTCTACCTTTTTGGTTGTCTAAAATTCAAATACAGTTGAAATTTGTTATCCGAAATTAATTACAGAATTTCTAACATTTCATTAGATTAAAAGAAAAAGAAAACTTTACAATCATTCAAATAATGTTGAATATCAGAGCAAGTAATTTCATTGTTCTATTACAAGAGAATAGATATATTTATTTTATCGTGATTCGGATTTTATATCATTTCTCAATCCAAGATCGTAATTCTTTTTGAAAGTTTCAAATCAATATTCCGAGGAATCTCATTGTGTTACAAAACCAAGCAAATCCTATTTTTTAATTACAAATGCCATATAGCTAAAGGCATCACATTATCGTTCGTTTGCAATAGTTAAATATAGTCCACGGCTTTTATTCTAGCTACTTGTTTTACTAAAGACACCCTGTACAATTCATATTTAAGTTTTCACTAAGAGAAGAACAATAAGATAAAACATAGGAATTTTAAATTTAAAAACAACCGGACAATATCGCTAGGAAGAAGAGACTATATATAAATTGATACGATGCTAAGAATTGTATTCAGTTGAGATTTTTAATTTTTTTTTAAAGCGTGACTTTGGTAGACTTTATGCAATCGGTGAACTTTGTTGTATTTAGAGAGAATATTTATTACAAACTTTTAAAGACTTTCATTATGTACATTTTGGAATTTATCACGAATTTTGCATACTTAGGGTGGGTTTTTTCACATCATATAATCTTACTTTTCAAATGATATCCATCAATTCATGCCTCATATTGAGTTGTTTGATTACCTTTTAGGTTCAAATGATAATATTTTTCACTTTTCTGAGTTACTGTTCACATAAGTCCTCCATTCTTCGTTTTTGGTTAGCCTGCCCAAGCACCATTAGACTTGGCAGCTAACCTTGTGTTTCATCCGACCTCTGGCAAAGACATGTCGGTGCACCATCACTGTCACCCTTTCTCGTAATGTTTGAGTCCCCATAGTTTCTTCGTGTTAGTCGGAGTGTTATCGAGCCTCCAACGTTACAACTAGAATCATGCTGTTGTTGGAATTCGACTGAAAACAACAACAATGTATTTTTCAATTGACTCCAGTTGTCTTGTTTTTTGACAACAAAATTAGGAATAAAAGTTGAAAGTAAGAAAGAAAACCTTATGTTTGAAATTAATAGAATGAAATTAGGTAGTCGAGTACGATGGAGAAGAAGAGAATGAGTTCTTACGGATTTATTTTATTTTTTTAGATTTATGGGATGGTTTTCAAAGGCTATCCCTTTTGAGCCCTACAAACAGCTAAAAGACATAAGTAATCAACTATTAAAAATTATTTTCATAAAAAAGAAAAAAGAAAAAAAAAAAACTGATTTGGGAGAATTTCAAAATTACCAAGATTCATTCCAAAACAACATAAAACAGTTATTGGAAATTGCAAANATAACAAATAAAAAATTAAAAGTTTCTGTGCAACTACAACAAAAAAATAACAATATCTATCAAACAACATAAAAACAACTTATCGTCAAACAATAATAAGAACTGAACCTATTGTCAGAATACACAATTTAATAACAAAGCATTAAAACAAAAGAGAATAAACAAAAGTTTAGTTAAATTTTTTAAATAGAATGAAACTCATTTTCCCAATGTAATTAATGACAAATTCACAAACATAAATAATCAAACAATTAAAATCTAACATTAAAAATTACCTAAACTTCATTCCCATATACTGTGGGTGCCCTGCAATCAATCTGCACTCAAAACCAAATTATGAAAAAAGAGGTAAAACAAACCTAATAAATAGCAACAAACAAAATCAAAGAAAAAAAAAAATCAAAATCTTAATAATCAAGGAAAAAATACAAATCTGAACGTCGGGTTGCCGGGCGTCAGTCGAAAACTTGTGCGGACCTTTGGGGTGGTTTTCGATCTGACGAAAAGAAGGAAAAAAAAAAGAGAAGAAGACGGAGGAGAGGAAAACGATAAAGAGAGAGAAGAAAATATAAACAATCGTTTATATTTTAAAGGCGTAATAAATGGAAATGAAATTGCCATATCTGAAATAAATAATAAACCATTTTATTAATGTAAAGAATATTTTAAAAAGGTAAGGGCATGCTTGTTTATGAAATAATTTATTTTCCACTCAAAATCTAACTCAACTTTAACTCAACCCCACTATCATTTATATTATTTGTATAATTAAATATTATAAACCAATCATTCTTACATATCACATCAATTTTAATTCACTATTCATCCACTCACATAATTTTAACTACCTATCATTTCCAATCATTTTCAATCATTTATATCCTACTTTTACATCAAATCATTAATAATCATTTCCAATTATTTATATCCCACTAACAATTAACCATACTACTTTTTTCAAAATTAACTCTAGTTAACTAAAATAACTCATTTTGAATGAAATATTTCATAAACAAGCACCCCCTTAGAGATAGTCCTTTATTCCATACAAACTTATAAATAAATAATTTGCTAATAGGCCCATTAAGAGCATCTCCAACAGGTCAATACAATAATAAATACCAGCATTATACAATACAATAAGAAGCTCAATAGAATAATAATTTATATTTTGTCACCATTATTCCACCTGCATTTTATTTTTTTGGCTTTTTTTAGAACAACAAAATAAAAATATTAAAAAAAACGTGTATAGACAATTACTGTGTGGCAAACTCTCATGCTTCGAAATCCTATTTGACAAAAAACTATGGTTTGGAGTTAGGCTTGGATATAAATTAATATTTGTATTCTTTGTATTTCAATATCATTTACTATTATTACCATTGAATTGCAAATATATTTTAAAAGTTGATAACTTTTGTATTTTTTATCGGTTTTACATATATAATATATCAAATTAATCATCTTTTGATGAGCTTCGATTTGACATCCATATTGTATATATAAAATAAATAAATTATATTTATCTTTATAATAATAATAGAATTATTTATTAAAATTAATTAGAAAATAAAATTATTTATCAATTAATATATTTATGGTTAATGTAGTTATATATTATAAGGTAGAAAATTTAATTAATATAACACATATCCCTCCTTAATATAATTTCAAAACGTGCTGAGCCTAAATGGCTGGTTCGCACGCTTCGGAAGCTTACTTGGCAACATTACATGTTTCGACTTTTGATTCGGACAAAAATGATACAATTATATTCCAAAATAAATAGGACCCCAACTCCAAATAGGATTCTTATTCTTATCTCGTCCAAATAGGATTCTCATTCTTATCATAGTTTATTTTAATTCCTTCAAAAGTTTTTTTTAATCACTTATTCTTATCCAAAATTCACATCTATATTTATATAAAAAGGTTGATGTAAAAATCCTTTTTAGAAACCTAAAAATAATTGAGTTGACTTTTGACTTTCTATTTATGTATTCTACTTTAATTAAGCAAATGGATATTCTCCTTAATAATGGTGATATTTCCGTTAATTAAGCATGTGAAATTGATTGTCCGTTGCAAAAATCATGGAACTTACTATCTATCCAAATATAATCCATAATTATCTTATCACTTTTGGTTAATAAAAAATATGTGAAATTGATTGTCCGTTGCAAAAATCATGGGACTTACTATCTATCCAAATACAATCCATAATTATCTTATCACTTTTGGTTAATAAAAAATTGTATAAAAGAATATTCACTACCACCATTACAACTTATCATTCACGAGTTCAGAGAAAAAAAAATACAGAGAATATTTTTTCATAGCATATACAATATAATGCTTCCAGGTTGGGGTATACTTGATTCCCATTAACAAAAGAAACAAACCTTTTTTTTTTGCGTCTGAGAGCAGTCCGCATTATTGAAACCCATCACGAACGGGAGAGCTGTAACGCATTTTCATGATGAACAGGTAATATTTAATTTTGTTATTTCAATTTTATATAATTTAGAAAATTATTTTAATTAATATTTATAAATTTGTATCGTAGGGTGCTTTCATTATATGCATAACACGTTATCCAAATATGAGAGCAACAAACTTTATATAAACTGAGAGCAGTCTAATTTTTGTAAAATATGTAAACTTTAAACGTGTTTTTATATATAAAATTGTATATACTTTTAAACATGTTAGTTGGGCAAATTTTAAGGATATATATGTGTGTGTATGCTAACTTTAAATATATATATTTTT